TGGCCGCCATTCGGCTATCGTTAATCGGATCATGAAAAAAATGCATGTGCATATGTCCCATATAATGTGTGATGTATGAGTGAAGTTTGAACTTAATCGGTCCATGCATGTTTGAGATACAGGTGATCATGGACGCACGGACGCACACAGGGCAAAACATAAGTACCCGTTTTCGGACTACGTCCGAACGGGGACTAACAAAGAGCCATCTGGATGCTGGGAAAATAAGAGTATTTAAAGGTGCGTTTTGGAGCAATGGATTGGCAAACAGGCAGAAAAGCAATTTCAAAGACTTTGACTTTGTTTTAATGAAAACTTGAAATATACATGAGGGTACGTATTATTATTTATTTTGGAAACTCAATTTTTAACTGAAGGAATTAAACAAAATTAAATAATAATGTTAGAAATGACAACTGTTCAATTCCGGACGTTTAATTGTACTTAGCGTATGTTACTATGACAATCAACCAATTCGAGAAAAACAGTCGACAATGACTAACTGCATGGTCACAGCCAAATCGCTGTTTAATTGAAATAAAAAAAATCAAGGAAAACAGAGAACTCTAAAACAGGAAGAGAAACACGATCGATGATCTCGAACAACAGGCATTACGAGAGCTACGTTTGTTTCACCTCGATCATTACAGTATTAACCAAGATGCACTATTCCCATAAGTGTGGGTATGTGGAAGTTCATAGCCAAGCGTACTGCGGTCAAGAACAAGGTAAGAAATTACGTGACAAGACCATCCCATCAAGATTTGCCGTTAATTTCCGGGTTCGGGTGCGTTTCATACAAGAAGATCGATACGAACTACAACGCCGAGTGTAGTAGACATAATCCCGATGGCAATAGGAAGTTCGAAGGAAGCTAATACAGTTGATTTATAACAGACGAAGTAAATGGAAATCACTTTTCAGTCGTCGTTGAGGCACGAAATATTTAGTAAACAAGAGACATTGGCAACTCCACGTTGTGGCAGATTTAATACACACGACTACAGTTCGACTAAAGTTTACAAACACCACGGTCAGTCACACAAAGTCCCCCAAATTCAAAAGGAATTTTTAAATGCACCTGGGAACACGAGACGAACAATTGTGCATACTTAGAAGACAACTCCACGCTATACATAGCGTGAAATGGCAATTTAAACTTTTCTTGCAGATTTTCCCCGTGATGATTTACATAATACTACAGTTCGATAACACGGCCAGTCACATAAAATCCATCAAAAGGGAACTGCAAGTCATATAATGCCAAAACAGTACCATGATTTCACAACTTTCGAAATTCGTTCGCTTTTATCGATGTCCACTGTACAACAGTTTAATGCTTTCCTGTTCGCAAGAACACAAGGCCTAAACTATCAGAAATTCGTACAATGTAACACATAATTCGAGTGATGGAATAAGAAAATGACTCATCATTTGTAAATTCAATCCATCAAAAAAATATATTTTTATAAACAATTTTTATTACATAAATAGACTTTGAAAAGAAACAAGATTCATAAACATGAATCTATTTGAATACATTCTCACTACAAATTACACAATACTTATTTTCTAATGGAGTTTCTTCACAGCACGAAGTACAGGAATCATGCAAACTGCGAGTACTTCGGTGACACATTTTATAGCTACGCCAAAAATAGTCCATCATTTATAGCGCAACTGTGACCACACGACATCATTCTGTTAATATCCACACATTTTCATAAAATCTCCATGCACTTTTTGACCTTTCATAAGTAAAATACACGACAATTTATTCCAGAAAAACAATTTTCTTGGTACATTCCTACATTCTTGCATACTAATGAGGGATTCAGACACATTCCAAGCTGAACAATTTTCTTAGACTAATAACAAAGCTGGTCAAGCCTTTCCCAGCAACAAACTGCACATGGCAGATATATACTTTTTGACATATCAAAAATTGCTAGATATCCCATGTTAGTTTTATTTGAAGTGGACACTGATCAAAATCGAGTCTACTTACCAATCCTCCCAACTCCAACGGAATTGAAAATTACTGAGATGATGAGAGAACCATGTGACAAATCTATCAACGCAGGTAACATTCATGTAATCAACACGCTCATAGAGTAATTCAGTGGCTTGTGCAAGCTGAAGCAAAATCATTAAGGATATAAAAGACATTGTACACAGAAAACCAATTAAGGACATTGTTGGCCATTCTTGTGTTCCAGTTTTGTCACTTTTCACAAAATAAATTTGCATAAATGTTTTAAAGTACTTTGTTTTTACATTCACACTTTTTGCAGAAGGGATGAACCAGTGAAAATAAAATCCAGTAAAAATACCTTTTTTTCTCGATATTTCACACATTTTCCTATGATAAAAACACGTAAATAAAATTCAAATGCAAGTTCTAGTGATTGACATAGAGAAACGCATAGTGGCTATGAGGAAAGAAATGTACCAGTAATTGGCGTTTTGAATAATAGAAATCACAGTGTAGCACATTTGAGGGCGAATGACAAGCAGGGATACAGAACAGGTCAGGAGAGGGAGCGTGTCTGAAAAGAGTCCTAGCCTTAAATATCCATTGTTTATTATGTCTGCATGTTCATCCCCATCAATCTTCTCTATCATCGTTTATAATGATATAAAACAAGGCACCTTTAACTGTTCAACAATACGATTTTCCCCACATACATGTACATTCTACAAGTTTTATGCATTTTTCAGTAATTTAAAAAAAAAAATTATGCTGGTTTTAATATTTTGTGAAAGGTGGCAAAAATTGACAAAGTGTTAAATACAAAAAATATGGTGAATAGTTGTTTCATATGTACAATGACCAGTCTTCTCCACAGCAAAATGTTCAAAAGGCACAACTAATTTGCATAAAAAGCATTAATTTATGTTGCTTTTTAAAAAGACATTACTAGTATGTGGAACCCCTTCAGATAAAGGATACAACTTGCGGAAGAGAAGACGGCTGCAGTTTACACAATTCAATGAGTAAAGACGCATAAAATATCTCGAGATAAGGCGGCTGAGGCAGGTTGAATAGCTGACCGAAAACAACTTCAATTATCATGTAATTCAGCGGCACTATATTCTTCCCATGGTAACTGACAAGCTGAGCGGCACTGAAATAGAAATACAGGAAGTAAAATGCGATGAATCTTGTGAAAAAAATGGAATCCATGAAACATAACGCAAGTCCTGTTATTATTATACTTGCATTTGTTTTCATATAACAAGTAGTGGATGATTGACAATCACAAATTAAGTTTTTTTTATACCTTTTAAATACATAATTTTCCTGAATATATCCACACACACCTGTTTTCTGCTGTTTCTAAGCTTTCAGAAAGTATTTAAATTGCTAATGAACAGACTGATTTATTTAATAAGCGGTTTGTTGCGGTTTCAAGTAACACTGTACATACAATACAGATACCGGGGAGGGGAGGGAGATAGTTCAAAAAAGATTCTTACCATTCTTTTCTTTCCTTATGATGTGTATGTATAATCTGTGACAACGTTTCTTCAATGAGGAATCTATCAATGGCATGATGTCCAGGCAAGTGTGGTCCCTGAAAAAACAGTAATTGCAAATAACTTTCAGTGAGGGCAGTTAATGTGTATTGATGAGGTGGCAGTTTGTGTTTAACTCCTCACTAGAAATATTCGGTTGAGTCAAAGCATACATGTGTGCATGTACAAGTAGGAATTTAATACATTGATAAATTTTTCAATAAACAAGCTGCTCTCTGATTGGTCTGACTGTTAGGTGCTTAATCAAACACAATGTTCAGATTTTTAAAATTCACTACGCCAATGCAACTTGATCTTGGGAAATTTTTCTTGCTACGAAATTCATGATTTTCTCAGCATAAATATTGTCTCTCGTGAACTTGGAGCATCATAATTATTTCCACAAAAATCTTGGTGCATTATTTTGCCCGTTTATATGTATTTCGCTATATTTCTTTTTGATAGCTTGTGTCCTAAATAAACATGATTTCCTCTTGGCTACAAGTATTGATCAAATTTTTGGACAAAATGAAAACAATTATGTGGGTAATATTTTGTGAAAGTTGACAAACTTTGGCAGTCAAAAAAAATAAAAGGGGTTAGAAGTAGGATTTTACACTTCTGATCACAGCATCACTATTAAATAAACTTTTGCAACACTCCATGTCTGAAAGACCCAGTCAAATCATCCGGATATTTTATGACTTTTTTTTGCAAATTTGCAAATAATTTGTCCCTTGCAGCATTACAGTGCTTTATAGTAATGTTGTAAAGATTAGGATGATGACGTGTATTCAGAACAGAAATAATCTTGGTTGCGCTTCACTTCTTATGCTTGGTAAATTTTACATCCATCGTATTTCTCTAGTAGAAGCACATCTTCAATATACTGTAGAATATTTTATTTTTGCTTGGAATTTATTTTCGCTATTTTCGCTGAAGGGATGATTCCGTGAAAATAAAATCCAGCGAATATACTTTTTTTCCTATATTTCACATTAAACTCATCAAAAATCAGTGAAAATAAATTCCATACAAAACGCCCAAAAAGCCTTTTCAGCGAAAATTAATTCCAGCTAAAATAAAGTATTCCACAGTATACACCAAAACCACATTGACTGTATCATTAAAATATGATATATTTCAACCATAAACATTTTTGATAATTTACATAATCGCAGTACAGCACATGTCGGTTTATTAGTTGGTTGACATGACATCACAGTCATCTGTTTGAGCATATTATGCGATATTCTCCTTATAGCCTTGTATCATTTAATTTTTGTTGCTAGGTGCGTTTACAATTTGACAATTTTATGGTATTCGTGAAGACAGAATTACACAACGATCACTCTGTCGTAAAACTAAAGATAAATTTTAATTCTGTTAATTTTTTTTATTATTTTCACTCGCAAAATCTGCCTTTTGCGAAATTAAATCGCTTTACTGTATTACCAGAGGAGTACCTACCTCGGGTGCATCTGTATAATCAAACATCCTAAATATAACTTTGGGTAAGGGATATTCCATTTCATCTGTGTGTGGGGGTGGGTTGATTGGTGGGAGGGTGTGTTGTAGCGCCTCGCACAACACACTGTCAAACGCAAGGTAGGGTCTCAGAATTGTCCGCTCAATCCATTTATCGTTCTTCAGTTTTGTAAGTTGAGCCCACAAACAGTCCAAATACTGTACAGAGAAAAAAGGTAGAATCAATGTTATGTTTAGGAAAAAATAATTTGTTTCATGAATAAATTAAATAAATTAAAAGGCAAGGCAACAATTAATAGTAAACTTTTCCAAATGAACAATATACGAAATAAACGCTCTGCAATTCTGATACTCAACTAAGGAGTGTGCAATAACTATTGAATTGCATACATTTGTTACTTACCTCTTCTTGGGGGTGTGGTACGTCCTTTTCCCATACTTTTAAAAATGGAAAATACTGTTTCTTACGTTTGCTGAAAATGACAAAAATCCGAGATTACAGACTAATATGGATTCTGAACTTTCATAAACACTTTTTTAAAAAATTTGTTGCGCCAAGCAACATTTCCATCTTTCTAATTACAAAGTAACATGCCAACCAATCTCCCAAATTGAATACCCCATGTTTAAATAGCAGGACAGACTGCACTGTGCAATTTTTATACTACTATGACTTCCTTCGAACAAGACGGTTAAGACCAGCAGGCTAAACACTGTACCATCGCTAAGGTCAACAATTGACGATAGGCTGAAACTGTAACGCACATGGTTGGTTGACTGAATGAATGAACTTCACCTCTCACAGACTGAATGTCTTTACGATTTAAATAGATGATTATCTGTAAAATCTCGTTTAATGCTTGAAAAATATGGATCGAAAGTCTACCACCAAAAACAAATGATTTGATTTTTTACTCGAATTTAACTTTTTTTATACTTTATTGTTGAGAGAGGAATATGGCATAGAGATATCCTTACTTCTTCAAAACTGACCATCATCAATTGTGTATAGCTTTATTGTAAACCTTTGTGTGGAAATTGCTCTAAAAATAATTGTTTGTCGAATTTCACACAATGTATTCATTTCACAAATAACTTAGAATCTCTCTGCAAATGGAAAATGGTCTATTGTCAATAACTTCTATAACTTACTTAATGTATTTCTCAATGTTTGAAAGTAACTTCTCAAATTCCATCTCCTTCTTATCATGCAACTCTCGTCCAATCTGTTGGTGACAAATGTTAATAAGTACGCAGAAAAACTACATGTTTACCAATATGTCAGCAAATCCAATGAATTTCTTTCAATAATTTATAATGATACAATATTTATTATAAATGAAACACACAAAATATGTAACGTTGATCATAAAACATAGAAGAGAATTTCAATATTTGTATACATGTACAATATAGGAATGAACACATATGATTTTATAATGCATAACAGTTTTGGAGTTCTAAAAAGAAGAATAAAACTCATTTTCAACACGTACCACCCCAACAATCTTGGTTGACCTTTCAGATAATTGATATGGAAGCGGCACAAATCAAAAACACAATATGCTCCTAACTCTAGTCCTACAACCCAGGGCGAGATATTACTTTTAAAAGTTTGTCTAGTTTAGTTCAGCCATAACAAGAATCAACACATTAATGAAAGACCCACATCACAGTTACAGGTGGTAAATTGTGAAAACAACGGAGAGAGAAAATGTGCGCAACATTCTGTTTGCTAAATTCATTAGAAATGTATGTCAGCAAGTCTCAGAAGTAGTTGGGCAGCAAGTTAGCAAACTCACACACTAAAACACCAACTAACCTACAATTCAGTTTGTCACCACTGAATGCTAGTCATCTCTAAAAACAAATTCTTATATAAGCTAATAAGGTTTTATAGGATTGAGAAGTTTGTAAAATTGTTTGTGTTGGTCAAAACTGTTTCAGTGTTCTCCACAGGAATTTAAACCACTGTGGTGGCCTAATTTGCATATAATTTGCATATCATTTACATAATAATAAAAATTGACCAAAGCACATTTACACCCACACAATAAACAACATATATTTTCAAAAACAAGGTGGCAGATATTTATTTGCTTCACACAGTGTTATAAACATTTTTATTTTGGGCACTTTTGTAATATTAATGAGCTCCGTCACAGTGCAAATATATATATTTTTTTTTGGAGTCAAAATATTACGTTTCACAATTTAAAAGAGTTTGAATTTAAAAATTTAACATTCTCGAAATGCAAATGCTGCAGACTAAAAAGAAACAAATAAATTGTAAAAGGTTAAATGAAACTAAATTGAAACGTTTGAGCCAGGATTATGTTCACGACTTTCATGATTTTATTTACTACAAAATTCTCCTTCAAAAAATCGACCACGTAATTATTTGGCGGATTGTTGTTTATTATTCCGACCATCAGCTTCTACAACGTTTACATTTACAGTAAATGAACGAACAAATAACACTTCCAAACAATCATCAAAATTACGACGTGACATAACTTACTTCGCGATGTTATACACCGGTTATACCAATAATTCCTCTTACTCGGTCATGATGCCATGCAAAATTAAATACTTCTTTTTTTT